TTGTCTTCTCCCAGTTTAAAAACAATGCCTCTCGAATATAATGCCTTCTAAAATAGCCCTGAAGTGCCAAGGGGGGCAAGGAAGGTGCCCACGACTGACACGCCAGCCATAGCCCGATCTGACTCCAAACACTGAAGGGTGGTCTGGCAGCGTGAGATCACATGGACCGGGTCAAGCAAAGGCTTCATGGCTGAGTTTGCCAAACATTCACTAAGCTGGGTTAGTAATCAGATTGCATGGAGGTCTGGCTGGGTGGATCTTGCAAACCCAGCCTGCTCGTGTGAACTCAGAAAAGGAATCCGTGCAACACCTGGGGTAAGAGTGTGACACGAACACGGCTTTCTGCGTGTCCTGAGGGCCGTTTTCCCTGTATTGGCCTGTTTTCCTCCCAGCGAACTCCCGTTTGGCTCTGTTGGTTTAAAGCCAGAGAAATTCTCATTGGAAGCTCCTTCCGTGCACAGCTGGCACAGCTACCCTGGGAGTTTCTGGCTTAGCACAAAGCATTTCTGGCTTTACCCACAAGGGCCAAGGGACCTCCTTGGCTTCCTTTCACAGGGTGGCCAAAGGAGGGGGCAGACTCTCTTTTTCCAGGGTGAGGGTGGGAGGCGGGCAGGAGGTCTTGGGAGAGGGCATGAGGGAGTGGCTCTGCCTGCCTCTGACCAAGGTCAGAGGCCACCCGTGTCTCCCCCACCCGTGTCTGGAGGGGGGAAGTGACGTCATCAAGGGGACCACCAAGAGCACGCAAGGTAGGAGAGAAGACCAGGTATTTCATGGGCATCTGCAGAAGAGAACTCTTTTTGTAACCAAACTGGTCTCTCGCTGGACCGTCGTCATCCCTTAGGGGAAAAAGGCTACAGCGTGTGTGACTGTCTGCTGGGCTCCCTGTCATCTGAGACTCTTCAGAGCGCTTTCGGAACTGAGGTTCAGGATCCCCAGAAACACCCTCCTGCTGCTGTGAAGGAAAACTTGCTGGTAATACAACCAACAGATGAAGAGTGTTTGGAAGATCTGTTGAGCTTTCTTTGCGAGCAAGCAAGACAGGCATTTATCATGTTGGTCATAAACATAATTTTTCTGAATACCCGACTGTATTAGGAACAAAGCAACTTTGATTTAGGGTTAGAGCAGCCTTGTCCTTGACCACACGGAGCCATTTCTAACTGCTCCGTTTTCTGGGATTGGCACAAGGCAGCAGCCTGGAGCAAGAGAGCCTGTCTTACACGGCCTGCGCTGTTCCTCGTGGATCACTTTTCCCGCCAGGACTTTGTCTGCTCTCGAGACGGCGTATTCCCTTGGCCATCCTCAGTAGGGCTTGTCTTGTCTGCTAATGGCTGCTGACGCTGGAATCCAACCCATAGACAGACTTCGATCGACTGATCGATCGATCGATTAAGTCCCATCAAGTCAGTGTTGACTCTTCCTATCTTTTTTGTTTTGTGGGTGCCTTTGACTCAGTCTTGACTCCCAGACTAGTCCCTGCAGTTTTCTTGGCAATGTTTTTGGAAGTTTGCCCTCGCCTCCTTCCCGGGGCTGAGAGGGAGGGACTGGCCCAAGGTCACCCAGCTGGCTTTGTGCCCTAGGCAGGACTGGAACTCCATCTCCCAGTTTCTAGCCCACTGCCTTTAACCACTACACCAAACTGCCTCTCCTTCCTAATCCAGCCTTACCTGCCATGCAGAGCAAGCACTGTGATCACCTCAAAATCCTCTGGTGATTAGCCAACCTTTGGAGCAACTAGATCCTAGGAGGTCCCGGGATGCTCCGCACAGACTGACCCTCCTCGGCCAGCAACTGTCCCCCGCAGCTCAGGGGCCTGATTGTTTCCTGCCATTTCGCTAGAGGCCTCTTGTTCAGAAGCAGCTGATGGGGCCGGGATCTGCGTCTTCCCCGCACCTGCCCCTCCAACGTGTCTTCCCTGGAACACAGTAAAGCTTACTCTGGACAGTAAGGGAGCCTTGGAATGTGAGTTTAATGCTCTCTGATACATGAGATTCCAGACGCATATTCTGGTGAGATGAGAATACATGCACAAGACTTGCATGGATGAAGATGTCCGTCTTCCTGCTGTGGCTTCCCATAGCTGCTCTTGCCTGGGCTTCTACCCGGGGTGAACATTTTACCCACCCATGTGTGGCATAGATGGCTTCTCTGCATTCCCCTCCATTCCATGATGCTCTGGGGTTTTAAAGCCATGCACAGGGAGGGAATTTCAGCACTTCGTGTTTGCATCTTTGGGCCATACCAGAAGGCAGAGGAGGAGGAAAGTACTGTAATCAAGAAGAACCTGGATCAGCCTTTTCCCTTTCTTTGATGAAATTGCCCCTTTATATTAGCGGTTTAGAAAACCACTTCTTGGAAGGGAGCTTGCCTTCTGAATTAAAAGCTAAAGGTTGCATTTCAGCTGCTGGATAGCTTTACCTGAAGCTCAGAATTGGGATCCATGAATTTTACCAGGACAAGGACGCTCCCTGAGCAAAGCAGGAGGCGTTCCTGAGTACTCCCACTGGTCAAAGGGGGAACCTCAGTTCTGGGGCGAGACTGAACGACTGTGGGTCGGAGGTGGCCTTGTTTTGCCTTGTGGTGCGTTTTATGATCTGACTCTTAGCCAGGCTTCATGCAGGCAGAGCAGAAGGGCTCCAGGGATCCCAGTCGATTAGGAGCTGGACAGCCAACACAGCTGGCACACCCAGCGAACTGAAGCAGCCAAGCAAAGCCATAGCAGCTTCTCCAACCTGGTGTCCGCAGATGTGCTGGAATGGCATCTCCCAGGGTCCCCATCAGCAATGAAGTGGCGGGGGAGAAATTCCACTCCAGCACATTTTCAGTGGAAAGAGCTTTGCTGCCTCTGTCACAGGAGGACGCATGGCCAGCGGGACGTGCTCTTTTTGTCCTCCTCCAGCATCTCTTTGGAGTAAAAGGGGTCACACCTGTTCTTCTGCATGAGGTCATCCACCATCCTAATCAGCTCCTCGACCTGAGCCTCTCGTTCTGCCCCTTCGGCCTTGTTGTTGAAAGCCAGGAACCGGTGCCCACACTGGGCGATTTGCTGCTTCAGAGACTTCAAGCTCTCCTCTGTCCCGGACAGCAGTTCTTCAAGAGAGGTCCCTTCCAGGTCCTCTTTCCGGGTGAACAGGATGATCATGTAGGCCTTGGCTTTAAGGCTGAAGACGTCTCTGACGAGCTGAGCAACCGCCTCTTCCTCCTTGCTGAGACGGCAAAGACGCATGACTTGGATAATGGCGTGGGGGCCTGGGGAGCAGAAGCTCAGACATTTTCTAATTTCTCCCGCAGTTACAGCATGTGAGTATCTCGTATCAAAAAAACCAGGAGTATCAATAACACCGAGAGTCCTCCCATCCTGCAGGGTAACCGTTTCCATTTTACACTTGACAGTGACGGATCCGGTCTCCATCTTGGACAGAAACCCCTTTCTCCCTAAAATCGTGTTTCCGGTTGCACTTTTCCCGTTTCCTGTTTTGCCAACCAGGACGATCCTCAGGTCTGGGACTGAAAGGAGAGAAGGAACGTCCTGACCAGTGGCATCAGGTCCTTTGCAGGAAGGAGAAGGTGGCGCCTCCCGCAACCCTCCAAACCAAGAGCTTACCTGTCACAGCTCCACCCATATTCCCAGGACTTGGACCCTCAGCAGCTAATTCAGAGTTTCTGAATTAAAGACCGAACCACGCAGGGAGCCTCTTTTGTGCTGGAAGGAAACAGAAGCCGTTCAAAAACCGTTTTAAGCACTTGGGGGTGGGAGAGAATATTTTCTATTGATTTTCTCTTCTTGGCTGAGAACAAACCGCATCCACCTCGCCAATGGAAACCTCGCAAGCTATTTCCCAAAGTTGTGTCAGCTCTAGCTGTGCCCAACCCCCTTTTCCTTTCCCTCCTACATGTCTGGGGATGGGGAAGCCTCTGCAGAATCCTGGGAGGATCGGGGCCTGGTCACCTGGCCCGCATCCTGGCATCGCGCCTGAAAAGAGGGAGAAGAGGGCCTCATCCTGCCAGCAGTGGGGTCTGCCAAACCGGGGGGGGGGCTTCATTACCCAGCCACTGGCCTGGATTTTGCAGGAAGGGGCTTCCCGCGTGGCATCCTGTGCAAGGAAAAGCTCTTGCTGCTTTCAGAGAGCCTTTGCCCGCAGCCTAAAGCTGGCACCTAAAAGCGGTGAGGCCACAGACTCGGCAGCTGACCGGGCCATTTGGGGATCGAACGGCCACCATCCACAGCCACTGCTGGGATCTACAGCCACGGGGACAATGGCCAGGCTTGGGCCCAAGGAAGCCTGAGGGTGGAAGGGGACAAGGGGGAGACAGGGCCAAGCTACGGAAGCGAAGGAGGAAAGTGAAATAAGAGATGGGCTGTTCTCAGAGAGCGCAGGCAACCTTCACTGGCACCGTCCTGTTATGATTTTCAATACATTCATTTTTACAAAGTAAATAATGACGATGCATCTCCTATTTTAGTAATTTTAATGCGTTTCCCCCTGCTTTGAACATGTTTAACAATGAAAACATTTGCTTTGTTTTTTTTTTAAATAAATCATTCATCCAACAAAGAACTTCTGAACTGGCTGTGATTGGCTTGCAACAGGTATGGCTCCTGCTTAACCTGTTTGAAAAAGGAACCCCCAATGCCGATCTCTGGGCGGAAGTTGCGTTGCTAAGTGTCCAGCGGCACACCGTCACTGTCCCGTTCGCTGACATTTTTGAAGTTTAAAATGCATTCATCTCGCCTAATTTTGCAATTGTACAATATGTTGGGGGAATCTTTGCTACTGGCCCCCCAAACCATCCAACTTCAGAGAGGTGCCAAATACCCTGACCCAGAGGAGAGCCAATTTCCAATATGCCAAACTTGTCAATCATGATGATACACTTAAATCTGGAAGACTGTTTTTGTACATGGTCACTGCTGTGAGACTGTTATATGCCCCCAAATGGAAAGACTCTGAAATACCCACAGCGGAGGAGTGGTTGGTGAGGATGGCAGAATTAGCAGGGATGGCAAAATTGGCTCCTCTGATTAGGGAAAGGACAATAACCCCAATTTTAGCTTTTTTTTTGGTGTCAGGGGAAAACCTCGTTAAGCACAAGAGACACGCACACCAAAACACTGACCACTTCAAAATTCGAAAGGTTAAAATGTTATGAAGAGTTAGTTTAACAGGCAAAACCATAACATACTTACATAACATCCCATTGCATGGAGGACCAGGACGGGCAAGCGGTCAAAATGGACAGCTTGAAACCGAGTGGCCCCGACCCCTTGTCAACAATCCCTTTTTATTCCTTAAAACCACAAACAACAGTCTTGACTCCGTCCTTGGTGCTAATTTTACACCACTTTCCTGCTCCTTTCTCTTATCACACTCCTTTCATCAGCACTTTACTTTGTCCATCTGTTTTCCGGCTTCTTGTTCATGACTGAAAACTTTAGTCTACACAGCAATTTTATTCATTGCTCTATACGGCTGTTTTATTTGGTGTTAGCATTTATTGCTTTATAGCTAGTTTTATTAGTATGTTTCAATTAACAAAGGCCTTAAGTATTAATAAATCAGTTTTTCCCCTCACACTGGAAACCCCTTATGGACTTTTTGCTGGAAAAAGAAAAGATGAACTTGTGATTTATGGGTTTATTGATTTCTAATAAAGGGTAGACTCTGGAAAGAAGGAATGTATGATGTCACCTTAGAGAGAGAGAGAGAGAGAGAGAGAGGGTGAAATATAAATATACTTGTAACTGCTGTTAAAATCGGAAGCCCCTTCTTGACAGCTTTTTCCTTTCTTTTTCTTTCTTTGCATCTTTTTTTCCACTTCTTACTTTTCTTTACTTTCTTTTCAAAATTTGTATTGCGTTTATTCTTTTAAAAATTTCTTTAACAATTATATACATTACACTTAAATCTGGGAAATTAACCCCGTTTTTTAAAATGACAGTCAAAGATTCCTAAGTGAAAAAGGAGACAAGTGTTTCCACCCAAACATTAATTTTAAGACGGCCATTTACCAATTGTTATTTCTCTTAACAATAAAGTCAGCTTACACACACACACACACACACACACTCAATCCAAGATTAATTATTACCTCTGGGAATTAAGAAAAAGCTTCTTCTGTCCAGGAAAAGCTGACCTGAAAACACTGTGGCCTCCAAAGGCATAATTTTGTACTTAGAACAATTTATTCTTTACTCCCCAAAGGCTCAAAAACTATTCATTAGTTTTACTGGATCTCGCAGGGAAAATTCTGGCTTAGGGTGGCTATCCGCCACTGGCGAACAGGGGCCCCTCCTTCTGCCCCTGCACCTGGCAAAGGCTTCCAAGAGGTGCCACCCCTCTCGACCCCCCTCCCCCGACAGAGCACCAAAGGCAACTCTACCTTCACCTTAATGGCCGGGGCAAGTTCGCCTGGAACTGCTGGGAACTTTTTTCTTGGAGGGCCTGGCCAGGGCATAGGGCAGGACAGGATCAGAGGATGGTTTGGTTGTTCTCTGAGGAGCCGCACTGCCAGTTTCCCTTGCCTGTTTAGTGCAGAGCGGCGATCACTTCATGTCAGACGGAAGTGCCCCAGAGGAATCAGCCTTAATAAACGAACACCGTTGACATGGGAATATTGACCAGATGGGATGTTCAAGGGGACAGGGAGGCAGGGAAT